TCACACGTTTTTTTGATATTTTTAAAATATTATGCACTCTTACAATTATCCAATTAAAACTAGCGATTTAATTTAAATATTTAATAATTGCATAACTAAAAAAAAAGGTTTTTACAATTTTTTTTATATATTTTACTGTTTTGTTGCAATAAACGTTCAATTTTTAATATAACCTTTGACGTATACATTTATGTTCCCTTAATTAATATATCCTTAAAGGTTGCCATGAAACTTAGATCTATTACAAATTTATTTGACGTTTGAATTGTCATTTTCAGTATACGTATTCTATAATTTTTGTTTAGTTTTTTAAAGTGTTTTTTATAAACAAAAATGAAAAATTGTAGTAAAAGTTACAAAGAAATTCATGAAATTTAACGAAGGACCGGTTTATTCATCTTTAGTAAAGTTTATCGGGCCTAATCTTTAATCTGATTTAAAAAGTTATGGTAATATTTAAATAAAATCGCAAGTTTTAATTGGAGAATTGAAAGTGTGCATACCTACATATTTTTAATAAACATACAATTAAAACAAAATTAACCGTCAAATTTTTTTTATTTTGCTCTTAAAATTTATGTTATGACCTAATTAACAAGAATATAAAAAAAATTAGGTTTCACAGAAAGTCCAAAAATCACCTCTCAGAACAGCACCATGCATCTGTCACCTGTAATCTCTCACCTGCCATTTATCATCTGTCACCTGTCATTTGTCATCTGCCACCTGTCATACATCACCTACCATATGTCATCTGTTAACTTGACATCTGTCACTTGACATATGTCACCTGTTCACTTGACATCTGTCAAAGTGTTGTTGGATACTTTGTTGGGTTCCCCTGTATACGACGACCCCTTCCTCCTCCCTAAGTGTGTGACATCATTTATGAACGGCCCTTATTACGTTAGATAATTATGATTTTTCTAAACTAATCGATTTTTTTAGAATTGTTTGTAAATAAAATAAGATTAAACAAATCCCTAATTTTTGTTATCAAAATATCCAATGATGAATTTCAAGAAATCTTATACTTTTTTATGCAAATTTTATTTAAAAAAAGGTAGTTTTTTTGGAATATATTAAATAATAAATAAATTTAAATTTTTCTACTTAAAAATTAACTAACTATTTAAAAGTATTAAATTAAAAGACAAATTTTAAAAACACTAACATTTTGCCGATTTTTTTTTCTCATATATACATATATATATATATTATTCTTTACAAAAATTAAATTATTTTTTAATATTTCTCAAGCAGCTCCAAAATTGTAATATATATATACCCCAGAGTTTTCAAATTTTTGTCATTTTCAACAACATAATGACCATTTAATTAACAACACGTAAGTGCCTTATTTTCAAATTCTATGACTACTATTTAGCAATAACTTTTTTATTTTTAATGCAACGCCCTGTACCTTTTCATTGATATAACCATTTCCTATACCATATATGGTATAACCTAAAGTTAATAATAACAAAGATATTGTACAATTCCTATTATGTATTAAATATTACTTTTTAAATTAATAAACAATCGCTTCTGTTAAAACCGGAAGAGGAATTTTGTTCAAAATAATTTTAAAAAATTATTAATATTCTTTTAAAACCCCGGGGGTTTAAATTTTAAACCCCCTTTTTAAATTAATAAACAATCGCTTCTGTTAAAACCGGAAGAGGAATTTTGTTCAAAATAATTTTAAAAAATTATTAATATTCTTTTAAAACCCCGGGGGTTTAAATTTTAAACCCCCAAACCCCCCGTGCGCACGGGTGTGTCTATTTCAAAACTAAAACAAAATTTGGTTGCCGATTAGTATGTAGCATTTTTTTAAATTAAATCACCAAAAACAAAATATTAAGCAACACATTTGAATAGTTTGAAATATAAACATCAAAAACATTAAGCAAATACCGTTAAGTGAATGCCTATTGCAAGATTTTTGAAAATAACAATGTCATTTTAAGATAAACAAAACAAATCAAATTATATTGTTTTTTTTGTAGTTTTATCTTTATTTTCACTTAAAAATTAATAAATATATTTTCACGCACCTGTAATGATTTATTTACATAAAGAATATAAAAGTAATTGTTTAATGCGTTTAAAGAATTAATTATTAAAAAAGGCTTGTAAGAATGTCCTTCGGCAAAAAATGTTTTTCACAAATACATTTAAATTTTAGATCATTATAATCTAAATCCAATAAAAGTTGATTTCCGGAATTTTTCTTCCAAATTTCACACCGTTCGGTGTCTTTTATTGGAAATTGGAACAATACAAAGCTGGTTTTGCCTTTTTTTTTAAAACATTTGTTATATAAACAAGTATTTGTAGGTAAATTATTCATTTTCGCTAACGAATTAAGTACAACAACCTACTTCAGCAATTGCTTTGTGCAAACTGAATTAAATTTAATCTAGTCGACCTTCACGATGCATGCGACCGGCGGCCGCCGCGCATTGCATAGAAAGTGGGGATGCTGATGACGACGCGTTTCTTACTGTCTCACTCTAACGGTCTCACTCTAATTTAGAATTTAAATCTCAAGATAAGATCGACGGTGGCGCCTCTAACAACGAGGATCGATTTTGGAGTTATTTTAAATACATTAGACCACGCCTCTTCCCCACTTCTTTACTCAATGGTTATAGTCTTTAATGAAAAAAGATTTTTTTACGTGTTATTTCAATGGAAAACTTAGAATGCTTACCGACACCTTTTAAAATTGAGCAAAAAATTTTGCCTTGCAGGGAAATTTTTTGCTTGGTATGTAGGTTCATTTTAACCCATAAATCCGATAGGTTAGTTTTTTTGGCTCACCCTAATATATATATGTATATATATATTTATATAATATATAATTGATTTATTAAAAATAGTAGCATAAAAATACAATTGTATTTTTATACTATTTTTAATTAATTGCTACAGTAGCCTATTTTCAAAATAGTATTTTTAATTAGGAAAACAACCCAGTGGCAAAAAGGGAGGCCTAGTTTTAATTAATCAAATATGGTTGACTTAAAAATAAATAGTTATGTGTGCTCCTAAAGTCTTATTTATAGATTGCCTTCCTTCCTTCCTCCCGTAGAAATGGCACTACAATTTTCGAAATGTTCATCTTTTACGGGAGGAAGGAAGGAAGGCAATCTATAAATCAGGCTTTAAGGTTAGTGCTTTCTCATAGATAACAAAGTGCTTTCTGGCGAGGTTTGAAAGCGAAAGTCAAACAAAGCTATAAAAAACTCGTGCCCTGGACAAAATACCTCACGAATAGTCTAAGGAATTCACCAAAGCGCAAACCTAAGACGTCTTAAGCTTAATTTATAGATTGCCTTCCTTCCTCCATAGAATAAAGTGACCACATCAAAAATGTCAAAATCTGGGACAAAGCAAAAAAAAATACTCCAAAAGCGGAAGAATCCGCAGCAGGTGCATTTTGCCGATACGAAGGCGAAAATAATTTTAAGAAAAAGGGGCGAGAAAACAGAAAATCGTTTACATAATTCGTTATAATATAATATGCACATTATTCCAAAATGTAGAAAGTATAGGTATAGGTATATATAAAAATAAATTTCTAACCATTGTATGGGGGTATTTAAAAATTAGGTACTCGTTTCCAAACACATTTATTTTTTTACAAATATAACTTACAAATACTTTTCTGCCGAATTAAATTTCCGCAGAAATCCCTCATTATTCTTTACAGAATTATAAAATTCTTCACAAGAAGAATACTCTAAATTATATTTTACAAAAAGCATACAATTTAATGATTCCACGGACAGTTGCGTTTATTCTGAGGTCCACATTTGATTTATCTAAATACCCGTTCGGTGGGAGCATTTGTTCCTGGTAGACACAAACATAATTCTACAATTCTTTTAATATCATGAAAGGGAACATTTTGAACGCCGTTTTAATTAAATAATACCAATGATAAAGTGACGCATTTTTTTTACTCGTGAGCGACCGAAACCGTTTTTTTTGTACGAATTTGTATTTTATTTTTGTCAGATTTATTATTTTGTGTGATTAAACGCAAATCCTGGACTGTCCCGCAAACTCCGGGATGAATGGTCACTTTACCCTAGAAGATGAACAATACGAAAACCGTAGTGATTACCGCAGTGGCGGCTGGTGGATTTTGGGCACACCCATATCTCAGTTATTAGACATGGGACCCACATCAAATTTATATGAGTTTATAATGACATTAAATACACAAGTTCTGCGCAAGCAGAATTCAAATTAAAGTTTGCGAAAAAAAGTTAGTTTTTAAGTGCAACCCCCAGCCTCCTGCCCCTCCAAATTAAGATAATTCAAATTAAAGTGGTACAATATTTAATTCACTGAAGTTTATCGACAAATTTTAAATTTTATTAAAAAAATTCAAGAATTACAGGTTTTATACCATTTATAATTTTTATTATTTCTTTTAAAAAAATTTGAAATGGTATAAAATCTGTAATCCTTGAACTTTTTTAATAAAAATTGAAATTTGTCGATAAACTTCAGTGAATTAAATATTGTACCACTTTAATTTGGAGGGGCAGGAGGCTGGGGGTTGCACTTAAAAACTAACTTTTTTCGCAAACTTTAATTTAAATTCTGCTTACGCATAACTTGTCTATATAATGTCATTATAAACTCATATAAATTTGATGTGGGTCCCATCATGGGACTCCCATGTCTAATAACTGAGATATGGGTGTGCCAAAATCCACCAGCCGCCACTGGATTACCGTACGGGAATCTATAAACAGCACTACGGTTTTCGTATTGTTCATCTTCTACGGGAGGAAGGAAGGAAAGCAATCTATAAATTAGACTTTAGGAGCACAGAGAACTATTTATTTCTTTATAAAATTTAAAATTAAATTTTTATGGGCCATAGTGGCGCCATCTAGTACGAATGATACCTAAATATACGTAGGGTTCTTTATCAAAATTTACTGGGAAGTTTGCAACCTTCTTTATCTCTGAAAATTTGCTTGGTCAAAAACTGACAGCTGTGATCCAAGTTTTGTTTAAATTTCATGTAAATAAAAATATAAATTAAATGGCAGGATCCGCATTAAGAAGGCTAATGGCCGAATACAAACGTATGTACTAATTATTTTACTTTTTGTTTCAAAACAAAGTGTATATCTTTTAGAATTGACCCTTAACCCCCCAGAAGGTATCATTGCTGGACCCATTAACGAAGAAAATTTTTTTGAATGGGAGGCTTTAATAACGTAAGTACGTTAATGATTTTTTACATGTCCAATTTACAAATTTAACATTGATAATTGTTTATAGAGGGCCAGAAGGAACGTGTTTTGAAGGAGGTGTATTTCCAGCAAAATTGGTTTTCCCTTCTGATTACCCATTAAGTCCTCCAAAAATGCAGTTTACCTGTGAAATGTTTCATCCAAATAGTAATAATAGGATTTATTTAAATAAAATTTTAATTTGTTTTTTTAGTCTACTCTGATGGACGAGTGTGTATTTCCATTTTACATGCTCCTGGAGATGATCCAATGGGATATGAAACTAGCGCAGAACGGTGGTCTCCAGTTCAAAGTGTAGAAAAAATTTTGCTTTCCGTAGTTAGCATGTTAGCAGGTAAATAGAACCAAATAATTTATAATATTAGTTTATAATTTATAACTTTAGAACCAAATGATGAAAGTGGTGCAAATGTAGATGCAGCCAAAATGTGGAGAGAAAACAGAGATGAATTTAACAGAATAGCTGAAAAAATTGTCCGGAGGACATTAGGTATACCCATATAAAACTATTTCTGCACATTCTCAATAAACTGTAAATAAGATAAGTTTTATATTTATGCATTTTTATTAGTTGACCCTAAAATATATATTTTATATACATATATATTGTTAAATTTAAATCCTTTTATTCAGTTAAGGTGACCAACTTTCTAAAATAAAAAACCAGGACACAACATGCCCCTTCTTGCCCTTCCAAAAAATAAACAAAATTTATTTTATTTAATATTCATTATTTGAAAAAAAGATGCTAATAAAGACAATAATAAAAAAGTTATCAGATTTTTAAATTAATTTTTAACCTGAGCCCTGACCACTTAATAAAAAAATTAGAACAAATCTTAAAAAAGTGGGAAAATTATTAAAAAAAATTCAAACAAGGTTTTTTCTTACTTTTTTTACTATCCTGAAGGTACTCCCAAAAATTCAGATTTTTGAATTAATTTTTAACCTGAGCACTTCAAAAAGTGGGAAAAACTCATAATTATTAAAAAAAAATTAAAACGAGGATATTTCTTACATATTCACTATTCTGAGGGCACTCCCAAAATTTCAGATATGTAAATTAATTTTTAATCTGGGCCCCGACCACTTTAAAAAAAAATAATAGATCAAATCCTAAAAAAGTGATAATTTTTTTTTCAAACGAGGTTTTTATTCTCTAAATGTACTTCCAAAGTTTTAGATGTTTAAATTAATTTTTAACCCAAGCCCCGACCACTTAAAAAAAAGTGGGAAAAAATCATAATTTTTTATATATTTTTTTTTCAAAGGAGGTTTTTTCCTACTTTTTTACTTTTCTAAATGTACTTCCAAAGTTTTAGATTTTTAAATTAATTTTTAACCTGAGCCCTGACCTCTTTAAAAAAAAATTAGAACAAATCCTAAAAAGTTGGAAAAATTCATAATTTAAAATAAAAACCCAAACGAGGTTTTTTCTTACTTTTATACTTTCCAAAAATTTTAATTTCTTAAAAAAAAATAAAAGCAAATCCTAAGAAAGTGAGAAAACGTCATAATTTTGTATAATTTTTTTTTCAAACTTCCCAAGTTTTAGATTTTTAAATTAATTTTTAACTTGAGCCCCAACGACTTAAAAAAAAATGCTAATAAATAATAAAAAAAATAGTATAAACCAGGACCAAATCTGCAAAACCAGGACAAAACCAGTACACAATTAAAACCAGCTGGTTGACCTAGGACACTTTAGAGCAAAAACCAGAACTTGTCCTGGGTAAACCAGGACAGTTAACTGTCCTATAGTTTACCAATTGGTCACCTTCTATATAAAAAACTTCCAAACTTAATTTATTCCGCGGATTTTTTTATTAAAACTGATGTTTTGTTCCATTTTAAATTGAAGTTATTTATTTAAAGTAATTACTTTCCTTCTGTAGGTACCTACCTACAGTAGCTATAGCTACTTAGCTATATATAGCTAAGTACACTGTATACTTATTTTCTCCAAATCAAATTTTTGCTGGTCCCTTCAGATATGAGTTTTACTGTATTGTTAAATGATCAGTTTAATTTACATAATACAGTCGACTCCCTCTAAGTTGGCATTTCTTTAATTTTAGTTTTCCTATAACTATATATAAACTTTATAGAGTTTATAAACTCATTTTAATTAAGTACTTTTACATTACTCCCTTGATCCCTAACAGTTCCACATGTCAGATGAAAAATCAAATTTGAGGGACTCCCTCTGAGGAAGTTGACTTTATTTTCAAATTTTTAAATATCCATTTTTTATTTACTTTCTTTCCTTTTGCAAAGGAAATACATGTATTTTCCCCAACTCAATTTTTTTTGCCGGTCCCTTTAGATTCGAGTAAGGGAAATTTTATTGTACTCAATAGTATTTCACAATACACTGTATTGAGTCAATACAGTGTATTGTGAAATGACCAAGTCAATTTACACAATATTTTACTTTTTTTAATTAGAACGGTAAACATTTTGATTGCACCTTGTATATTTGAATTGTGAAGATAGCCGCGAAGCAATTAGTGCTGCCATCTCTTCCGTTTTGCATTGCGTGTTCAACTTCATGTTAATTTTCCACGTGTGAAAAAGTTTCGCCGTGGAAAGGCGTCGTTTTAGGTAAAAATAAAACTTGTATATTACGTATATAAAGTTTGGTTATAAATATGTTGGTTCTTTTTGAAACCCCTGCTGGGTATGCCCTTTTTAAGGTAAGAGATAAAAAAACAGGCAAGCACTATATAGCAACTAACCTTACTTTTTCCATGCTTTTAGCTTTTGGATGAAAATAAGTTAAAAGAAACTGATAATTTGTATCTCTCTTTCGAATCACCAGAATCTGCGGGAAAAATGTAAGTACTAACATAATTTCATTGTAAATGTTGATATAAACAATACTTGTTTACCATAAAAAATCTGTTTTTGATACAAAATGTAATAATTTTTTTAATCTGCTCTAAATTACATTTTATTTAAATTATAATTTAATCTAATTTTACTAGTGTTCATATCAATACAATGAGCATTCACACCATTACAAAGAATATTTTTATTAACACACTATTTTCAGTATTAAGCTTAAACATTTTGAAAAGTTTGCTGATACTACTGAGGCTTTAGCTGCCACAACAGCAGCAGTTGAAGGAAAGGTTTCAAAAAGCTTAAAGAAAGTCATTAAAAAGTTTGTTGACGAAAAAGAACAGCTACTTGTTGCTGACACCAAACTTGGGTCAGCTATAAAGGAAAAATTCAGTTTGCAATGTTTATCAAACACATCTGTTCAAGAATTGATGAGATGCATTCGTTCACAATTGGACAGTTTATTATCGGGTTTACCTAAAAAAGAAATGACTGCTATGGCTTTAGGTCTAGCTCATTCACTTTCTAGGTATAAACTCAAGTTTTCACCTGATAAAGTTGATACCATGATAGTTCAAGCAGTTTCCTTGTTGGATGATTTAGATAAAGAATTAAATAATTACATCATGAGATGTAGAGAATGGTATGGCTGGCATTTTCCAGAATTAGGAAAGATCATTACCGATAATGTTGCATTTGCAAAAACTGTTAAGATAATTGGAACCAGAGAAAATACATCAAGCTCAGATTTGTCTGATATCTTACCAGAAGATGTTGAAGAAAAAGTGAAAGAAGCCGCTGAAATATCTATGGGAACTGAAATTTCCCATGAAGATATTGTCAACATTCAAAATTTGTGTGATCAAGTTATTGACATTACAAACTATCGTACCCAGTTGTATGATTACCTTAAAGCTAGAATGATGGCAATGGCTCCAAATCTAACAGTTCTGGTGGGTGATTTAGTAGGTGCAAGATTAATATCACATGCTGGTTCATTGATAAATTTGGCAAAGCATCCAGCTTCTACTGTTCAAATATTGGGTGCAGAAAAAGCTTTGTTTAGAGCATTAAAAACTAAAAAAGACACTCCCAAATATGGTCTTATTTATCACTCTCAATTAGTTGGACAGAGTAGTACAAAGAATAAGGGAAAGATGTCCCGGATGTTGGCTGCTAAAGCCTCACTGGCTACTCGTGTAGATGCATTAGGTGAAGATGGAAGCTTTACTTTGGGAGCAGAACACAAAGCTAAACTGGAGGCGCGTTTAAGAATTTTGGAAGAAGGAAATATTAAGAGAATAAGTGGAACAGGAAAAGCCAAGGCCAAGTTTGAAAAATACCATGGAGTTAGTGAAGTTAAACAATATCCAGATGCAGCAGATTCCACCTTGCCTTCCAGTAGTAAGAGGAAGAGAACTGAATCTGAGTTGAAACAAGAAGTTAAAACAGAAGAAGTTGAAACTCCAAAAACCAAGAAAAAACAAAAGAAAGAAAAGGAAGAAATAAAGGAGGAAATTAAAGAAGAGTCTGTGGATGGTAAGTTAATTATTTGTTTAAGATATTCTATCTAATCTTATTTATTTACTTTTAAGCTGAACCATCTTCGTCCAAGAAAAAGAAGAAGAAGAAGGCCAAACAAGAAGAGCTGGAAGAAGAGGAAATCAAAGAAGAACCAACATCTGAGAAGAAGAAAAAAAAGAAGCAAAAAGTTGAAGCAGATAATAGTCAAGTTGGTGATGAAACTTTAGAAGATGATTCAACTGAAAAGAAAAAGAAGAAGAAGAAAAAGAAGTCTGAAAGTGAATCTGCAGAGTAAAGTTTTAACATAACATAAAAGCAGAAGAAAATCATTCAGGTTATATTCAGATTTTCTAGAATTTTTATGGAGGAGAATTTATTAAAACAAATTAAATTCACTTTTATTTGATTAAAATGATTATCAAACATGGATTTTATAATATTTTGGTAAATTTCTCCTCATTTTTATTAAAATTTCTGGACTTATTCTTTTACCTTGCATTTCATAATATTGTTAATTCTTTCTATAGGTATATATTTCAGTATATTTTAAATACTAGACTACAAGTAATTAAAGCAACAATCCTTTATGCAGAGCTGATAATTTTATCAGGTAATGAGGTTATAGAGAAAATTTTATTTTATAATTTTAACTTGTTAGTTTTTTCTTAAAAAAAACATAGTAAATAAGTACCGTAAACTGGGGCTACTTTGAACGGTTTTTACCCTCAACTGCCGATATTTCCTTTACCGTTACTGTTTTTGAATTATTTTTTTTTCTATATTGGGGGGACTTGTGCCCTCTAGAGAATTGGAATTTATTTTTATTTTTCAATAATTAATAACATATTTTTTTAATTTTTTTTTAGGTGTTCAAAGTAACCTTACGAATGGGGCTACTTTGAACACGCATATAAATGCCGTATTTTTTCAATGTAGCCCCATACAAAGGGGCTTCATTGAACAGTATTCCAAAGTTATCAAGTCAATAAGTCATTGGAAATCAGTCAACTGGTCATAATTAATGGACAGCTTCTGAACTTCATTATTTTATGTTATATTACTGATCTGTCCAGTACTACCAACATAACAACAAAATTGTCAAGCCATGTTGCCAACCTATATTCTAAGCACAGCTGAACAAACCTACAGCGGAGTTAGACTTAAGTGATTATCATCTTAGGTATATTGTTACCTTAAAACAAAATTTTTATTTTGTTCAATGTTACCCCGCAGTTCAAAGTAGCCCCAGTTTAGAAAAATATTTTTTATTTCACTTCCTTTTTTATTTTTTATATATATTTATCCCATTGAATTAGTATGTTTTTTTTTATTTTACCTTACTAAGTAATTAACGATTTTCTTTTCACAATAAATCAATATAAATTATGTAAATATGCTTATAGTTAAACTGTATATTTGGTTAATACCACATTAATATGAACTTGACTTGAGATGGATATAATAATAATAATAAATATCGGATGTATTTAATGGCAGTTTGTCTTGAAAGTTAAAATCTAAAATTATAAAAATATTATGTCGACTACACAGCAAACGGAAAAATATAGAACTGTAAAGGATGACTCCCCATTTGAATACTAAATCTTAAGGTTTTATCAGAACTGTATTAAATCGTGCTTTGTTTTTATATTTTTCGCCTCTATACCTATGCACGACTATATTTTAAGTCAAACTCAATGGTGTCTTACAAGATACATTATTTTGATTTTCTATATTCAAGTTATAATAATTCAACAGAGGGGTAGAAACACGACCCTGTCGAATGGTGCAGTCATTTATGTCTAGAAATTATTGAAAAAGGGTTCAGTCCAATGGTGCAGCAACAACCTATTCTCTTCAGAGACATATAAACTCAAGCTTTACGAATTTTACTGGCAATGATTTTCGTTAATATCCACGAGAATTATACAAAAACAGCGCAATGCAATATCGCAACGCGTTAACGGTTTACTTCTCATTACTCTACCAAGTTAAAGAAACTGGAGTCTATCTAATACTGTTCTAGTCAATATTTCTGAGAGTATAAAAACAGGGTGTAATTCAATATTGCAAGAAGTTTTGATCTTTTGATGGATGCAAGTAGTTTGAATATTCTCATTTGTGCATATGATTTTGTTGAAAATAGTTCCTTTTTGGTTTCTTTGTCTGATTTTTATTTACTATAACAACTCCGGTATGTAAAGCACAGAGGATATGATGTAAAGTATATTTGTGTACTATATAAAGTACCTATATTTGTATTAAAAATTTCAGAGGTTATGTTGAAAAAATTATCGATATGCTATTAAACTTTAATAATTTATTAATGAGGTCTGTTGGTAGACCCTGCACATCTCCACTGGTAGTTTTATGTTAGTTCAGCAATATTTAAATCTGGTTGATTAAAATGTACACACCAGTGCAGGTTATTGTAGCATCTACAAACAAATGAATTAATGGCCCATTGGCAATTATTCCTTTAGGAAAAATATTCAACACAACTTAATTAATTAATAAAATGAAAAAATCACAATCATGTCGTAGGTATAGTTTTTTTTTCAAGCATAAAATAATTTTCACTATAGTTCAAAAGTCAAATTACGACCCCTATACTGTGGAGAGTATTAAAACGCTTGACTGACGAATACAACTCTATACCGTGGCGAGGGTTTAGAAAACTATTCAAACGTGGCATCATGACGCGTCATCCAATATACTTCTATATTTTAATAATAATAATAAATACTTTATTGATCCCAAGAAACATAGATTGTTTATAGAGACACAAACTCTAAACATCTAATAATTACAATATATCTATCACAGTGATAACGCAACATTATCTTATAAGATAACTATAGTCATACAAATATACAATATACAATGCAATATACTTTATACATTAATTTACATATCTACTGAACTTTTTTTTTCAAATTCAATACTCAAGAAGAAGACACGCAGGTTTGCCTCTTATCAAGGATTGAAATACTCTTTTATATGTCTTGTCGATTTTGTTTTTATATCTTTTGGTAAGCTCTTAAGAGTTAATTAACACCCCTATATAATAAACATGATTTACCATACTTTGAGTAAACGTGTGGAACTGCTAAATTATTATTATTTCTTGTGTTGTGTATATGTATTTCATTTCTGGCTTTAAAATTAATATTCGTGTGTTTCTTCTCAAGTATAGAACCACGAACAAAGCTACACACCTGATATTTATAAATATTATCAATGGACATTATTCTAAAGTTAGTATAAAGATCTTCTGAATGATATCTTGAGGGTAAACAATACAGGTTTTTTTATTGACTTGTTTTGAAGAGTTTTTAGGGGCCTTATGGTGACAGCACTAGCTGTATATAGCATACCATCGTTAGATATTGCAGGTGAGGGGGTATTAATGAATAATATATTGATCTTAGATATTTTTTTGGGATATTATTATTTAATTTATATAGAATACCTATGGGTGCTGCAATTTTGCTTCTTAATTTATTAATATGGTCTCGCCATGACAGTATTTCATCAAGGAATTTAATATTTCTAGAATATTTTAGACTCTCACCTGCCAAATCCAATGGTTGCCTATCAAATAAGTTACGCTTAGGACTTGTCAATATTCAAAGTTAGCTTATGAGATTTAAGCCAACTCAAAATCATCTTTAAGTCACAAACAATATTTCTCCTAATTGAGTCATAAGTATCTGAGAAGTATACTAAGGTTGTGACGTCGGCATATAATCTAACCCAGTAAGCACCAAACACTCGGCAAACAGTCGGCCTTCGCTCGGCATAGGCGGTTGACCGGCGGTTCGGCTTGCCCCCAGTCGTTCCGCTTATGGCCCGCGTTATGTTAGCCCGGTACCGTTTGGCCATGTTCTAACCAAAGTCGGCCAGAATACGGCATGCCGCTGCAAAATCGTTCGGCTTGCCCTAGCCGGCCCGCTTACGGCCTGCCGCGGCATAAGCAATACATCTCACGGCTGCTTACGCAAGCGAGCTAAATATAAATAGCGATGGGTTGCAATATTTTGTTGGAAGTGTGCGTATGTAATGGCATAGCTGAATTGTTTGAAGTTCCCATCTCCATCCCCATCTGCTCAGTAGTACGAATAATGGTTAGCTATAGTTGAGTGTGTTAAACCTATAGGATATCCCTATCCAGGACGTCTGAAGGCTTTTTTTGAATTGCCAGGCTGTTGTGGCCGACACTCGGCCAACTATACACAGCCGACACTCGGCCGAGTAAACATAGCTGTGGGGAACCGCTGTAACATTTTGATTTTTTGGTATTTGTTTTGATTAAAAAAGGAAAGTTAGTTTTTTTGTAGTAGAAATGTATAGACAGTAAAAATGAGTAGTTTTTGTTTAAAAAAAATAACGGTTGTTAGGGAAGTATTTTTGAGAGAAAAAACATGTATTGGATTGATGTTATTTAATTTTACAACGTTTTCGTTGCACTTGTGAATAAAGTGTGAAATACAAACGTAGATTGCGTTTTATTCTACGAACCGCCAGGGTTTATTTAAACGGATTGTTTATTTGGACTCGGCACAACATATTTGGCGACCGTGACAGGACTGACAGTGCGAAAAAGGAAAACATTGTGTAAAAAAAACTCTGGGTTCAAAACAAACGTTGTGTGTTGGTCAAGGTTCGGCGGACGGGCAGTTGAAAATACTCGGTTAATGTCGCGCATAAAGGACACACAGCACAAGTGAGTGGTTTTCTGAAAGAAATATGTCAGTTTTGGAGCAGAAAAAGAAACACAGGCGAGTTCTTCGCACGCTGTTTACCAAGAATGCCAATGAGTTGGACAGTTTATTGTCTGTAAGCGAAGAGCGGGATGAAAAGGCAACAAGAGAATGCAAAGTATCAATGGAACTTATGCAAGGTAAACACGATCAATTGATAGTAATTAATTCAGAGATTTTAGAGCTTATGCTAGAGTCTGAGGCTTCTGAAAACGATATTGGAACAGAGTGTGAGAATTCCGAGGAGTATAAAAGAAAATATTTGGATTTACAATGTAAATATGAGTCAGTTTTTAAATGTGTAGCGAATGAAGAGATATCCTTAGCTAAAGTAGACATTAAATCGTGTGCTAGTGTAGGACAGCGAAGATTTAAGCTGCCTACTATAATATTTAAAACATTTGATGGTAATGTTAAGAACTGGATGCCATTTTGGGCACAGTTTCAGAAGGTGCATAATGATGAGAGCATAGATTCTAATGACAAGATAGAGTATTTGGTTCAAGCCACTGTACCTGGCAGTAGGGCTAGACAGCTTGTTGATAGTTTTCCTGCAGTTGGGAAAAATTACCAAAAAATTATTGATTCATTGATGATGAGGTTTGGCAGGGAAGACATGCAAATAGAGGTTTCAGTAAGGGAACTTTTAAAGTTAATAATAAACAATTCAGTTTCAAACCACAAGATGGATCTGTCGCTGTTATATGACAGAATTGAAACACAATTGCGGGCTCTGGAGTCGTTGGGCATAACGTCAAATAAGTGTGCGGCCATGATTTTTCCTCTGATTGAATCATGCCTTCCAGAGGAATTGATACGCGTTTGGCAAAGATCGTCCTTCAGCAACATGGGAGTGGATTCTCGTTCGTGTTCTACAGAGATACTTGACGTGGCAGGTTCAACTTTGGAAGTTCGATTAAAGAATCTG